CCTTACCTACTCCTCCCCCGGGTATCTCAGTGCCTTTTACGGGCCCTCTTTTCCTCCTTATCCACCACCCCCAACAGGTCTCCCTGGCCCCCTGCAGGCCCTCGTGCCCTCCTTGGCTTACCCCCGAGGTCTCCAAGCGCCCCCTGCAGGGCCCTCCTCCCTTCCTTAGGCGCCCACCTACCCAGGTCTTCCAGCGACCCCTGCAGACCCTCCTCCCCTCGTTATCCACCCCCTCCAGGTCTCCCAGTGCCCCGTGTGAGACCCTCCCCCGCTCCTCACGCACCCCAGGTTCACCAGTGCCCCCTGCGGGGCCCTCCTCCCCTCCCCCCACAGTAATCACCCCTCCCCCAACCCCGCCTGGCTCCGCCCCCTCGCGCCCCCTCGCGCCCCCTCTGTCCGCCCCGCGCCTGCGCACTGCCACCCTTCACTCGCGCCAGCCTGGCGGCGGCGGGCTGTGGCCTGCAGCACCTGGCGCACGAGGTGGAGCCCACAGGAGACCGACGCAGTGGGCAGGGCACACCGGCCACGCCTCTGGCGGTGAGGGGCCGCCCCGGGCAGGATCCAGCCCGCCGGCCCTCCTCCAAGAGCAAGGGCTGCTCTGGGCGTGGGCGGAGGGGTTGGCCGGAAAGGCCCGAGGGCAGGCGGCAGAGGCTGAGGGGCTGCCCCGGAGGGTGGGGCGGGTGTGGGGGGCAGCGTAAAGCAGGGGCACTGCCAGGCCTCCAGATGGGTGTGCTTGGCCTGGCTGAGGCCTGCTTGGCCAAGTCTGGGTGGGGTCGAGGCCACTAGGCCCAAAGCCTGCCTGGCTCTGAGGGTTCTAGGTACAGAACCGTGCACCAGGGGAATGTCCGCCCGAACCTCGCTAGGCCCAGGATGGGCACAGGCCCAGCGCCTGCTAGGGCCCAAACCTTGCTACGCTTGGGATATGCACATGCACTGACCCAGAGCCCGAACTTCGCTAGGCCCAGGATACGCACCGGGCCGGAGCCTGCTCAGGCGGGACCCTGCAGGCTCAGGATGTGCCCCAAGTCTGCAGAGGCCCAAACCTGTTCCTCCTAGAGTTTTGTGCAAAATCCTGCTTCAGATAAATCCTGCTCAGCCTCCACCCGCTCCTAGACCCAGGCCAGATCAGCATTGTCCCGATGCTACTAGGTCCAAAGCCTTTTGAGGCCAGACCTTGTTTCAACTCCAAAGCCTGCTAGGCCCCAGGACCCCCTTTTCTCCCCCTGTGAAAATCGCTTGCTTCTTTCTCATACAGGCTCCAAGTCATCATGGCAGCCACTGAGATCTCTGTCCTTTCTGAGCAATTCACCAAAATCAAAGAACTCGAGTTGATGCCGGAAAAAGGCCTGAAGGAGGAGGAAGAAGACGGAGTGTACAGAGAGAAAGACCATCGGAGTCCTGGTGAGCTGGAGGCCGAGTGTACCGCTGGGGCCCTCCAGGACAGTGTCCTGGAGGAAGAGCTGGAGCTGGTGCCCGCTTCCTCCGAGGAGAGTGAGAAGCACATCCTGACCCTGCAGACGGCGCCCTTCACGTCTGAAGCTTTCGAGTTGCAGGATTTGAGCTTGCTGAGCATACAGCAGCAGGAAGGGGGGCAGGTGATGGTGCAGCAGGCTGGCCCTGGGTTGCTGTGGCTTGAGGAGGGGCCCCAGCAGAGCTTGCAGCAGTATTTGGCCATTAGTATCCAGGAAGAGCTGTACTCCCTGCAAGAGATGGAGGTGTTGCAGCTCCACCTTCTAGAGGATAATGTGCTGGCCAGTGAAGAGAGCAAGTTAGCAGGGAGCCTGGCTGAAAGTGCTGGACTGACTAAGGTACAGCTGGTTTTAATAAACCAACCCCTTACATGAAAAAAAAAAAAAAAAAAATTCAAGTCAGCTTTTATGCAGTACTATGTCTGGACAAGGTATTTTTCCAATTAAAGACGGTAAAAATACTTCCCAGGAAAATCCTGAGAGATCTTATGTTCTTTCTTTAAAAGATTTTAGAAGTTGTGCTAATTGGAATACTGTAAGGTACATTAAGTTTTTTAAAAAGTGTTAAGTTTCACTGCCACAACCCTGATGCTAAATAATTAACATTGTGATGCATAATCTTCAACTTTTGCTTTGCTTTTTGTATTCTGTGGTTTATCCAGGCAAAAATTTAATCATATTGAAATTAATAGTGTATTTGTTTGAATATTTATTGTTGTTTTCTAGCTCCAGGAAAGGCAGGAGAAAGAGCAGTTATTGCCTGAAAGGAGATTGGCTGAAAGAACAAAGGAGCAATTCTTACATTTGGGAGCGATGCCAGGAGACAAAGGAAGTGACGAAATCTTTCTGAAAATTTCAAATTTAAACGTGGAAGAACAAGAGGATCAACCTATAGCTGTTCCAGCAAATGTTGAAAAGGCCAAATCTGCAAAAAATCAAAGGCAGACAAAGGGTAGGCTAGTTCATCTCATAGAAGACACTCCATAAAACTGGGCTGCTGTTTTTCTTTATGGGACGGTGATGGTGATTGAAGTTTTAAGTAGTTGACTTTTAGTTGCTTTCAAAATGTCAGGAAACGGGAAAAATTTTAAACTAATGTTCTGTATTGTGAATCAAATCCATAAGCGTTTTGCATTTTGCACACAAACGTTTTAAAAGCACAGTAAAAATGTTCCCGCAAGCCTTGTGCACATAAGTATAGAAGGCCAAGCCCTGGTCTTTGCTGTCTAGTTTGCACCCCATAGGAATATGGGGGACGAGTCATTACAGGACAGGTGGTGAGGTCTTGTGTGCTTCAGGGCCGGGAGAAGGAATGATTCCTCCTTCAGGAAGCAGTGGAGGGTGCCTTCTAAGGGAGGTGATATTTAGGTGAGTCCAGGACAAAGAAGCCATTAAGACAGGGATCGTGATTCCAGGCACTAGAAAGTGGTCTGGGCGCGTAGCTCTGAAAGTATCTGCTTTCTATGTGAAGGTGGAGAGCTCTACTGTGTCTGTAGGCCTGGGGGCTCAGAGAGGTGGATAGGGCCAGATTAGGGAGACCCTGAAGCAATATTAAAGTCATATTAAACTGAGATTGCATTCCAGCAGCCCACAGGATGAATCTGTGCTATGAAAATTATTTGTTCAGCTTATTTTTTAAAAAAATATTAGTTTCTCGCTTATTTAAATCAAGAGATTTCACCCCCAAAATTTCCATTTCTGGCTCTTTTAAAAAATTGTATCTTGCAACATTTGGCACAGTTTCCTTCCTTCTGGCAACAGGTGCCGGGGATTGGAAAGTGACTCGGTGTAGAAAAGGAGAATGCTGCCCAAACACACTGCCACCACCATCTCATTCTTCTTACATGTAGTCAGGGCCCTTCACTTAGGTTTCTTGCCTCTGCCTTCCATAGATGATTGAGTTTGCAGCCTCTTGGTACATAGTAGTTTCTCATGTGTTTAAATCAAGAGCTTCGTACCCCACATTTTACCATTTCTAGCTCATTTTTAGGTTTTTGATGTAGTCATAAATTTGTAGAACCATCACCAATCACTGTCTAAATTCCAGAATATTTTTATCACCCCAATAAGAGGCCTGTACCTGTTAGGCAGTTGCTTCCTACTCCCTTCCCCCTCCCCAGCCCCTGGCTACCAGTCATTTATTTTTTGTTTCTATAGATTTTCCTGTTCTATACATTTTCCAGAAGTTGAATCATATATGTATACCATGTGGCCGTTTGTGTCTAGATTCTTTAGCTTTGCATAATGTTTTCAGGGTTCATTGGTATTGTAGCACATGTCAGTGCTTCATTCACTTTTAATGGTTAAGCAGTAATCCCTGTATGGGTACACCACATTTTATTTATGCATTCATTCATAGATATACACTGCAGTTGTGTCTACCTTTCAGCTAGTGTGAATGGTGCTGTTATGACCACCTGTATACACGTTTTTTGTTTGAGCACCCGTTTGCAATCCTTTCGGGTATACACTTAGAAGTGGAATTGTTGGATCATGTGGTTTACTCTATATTTAACTTCTTGAGGAGCTACCACATTATTTTCCGTGGCAGCTGCACCAGTTTGAATTTCCACCAGCCGTGTGTGTAGCTTCCAGTTTCTCCACATCCTCACAATGGCTACTTTCTTTGTTGTTATTGTTTAATTATAGCCATTCTAGCAGATGTGAAGAGGTATTTTGTTGTACTTTTGGTTTCCATTTATCTAATGACTAAAGGTATTGAGTATCTCTTCATGTGCTCATTGGCCACTTATGTATCTTCTTTGGAAAAAATGGCTATTCAAATATTCGGCCCATTTTTAACTGGCAATTTGTTAGCTTCCCAGGGATGCCAAGACAAAGCACCACAAACTGAGTGACTTCAAACAACAGAGACATACCTCTCACAGTTCTGGAAGCTTCAAGTGTGAAATCGAGGTGTTGGCAAAGCCATGCTCTCTTGGAAGGCTGTCAGGGAGAATATATTTCATGCCTTTCTCTTAGCTTCTGGTATTGCCAGCAGTCATGCCATTCATTGGCGTACAGATGCATTGCTCCAGTCTCTGCCTCTGTTATCACATATAATTATTCCTGTGTGTTTCTGTTTGTGTCTCTTTATATTTTGGGACTGTTATTAGGTGCATATATATTTGGTTGGTTGGTTGGGTTATTTTGAGATGGAGTCTCACTTTGCCTCCAGGCTTGAAGTGCAATGGCATAGTCTTGGCTCACTGCAACCTCTGTCTCCCAGATTCAAGCAATTCTCCTGCCTCAGCCTCCTGAGTAGCTGAGATTGCAGGCATGTGCCACCACACCCGGCTAGTTTTTGTATTTTTAGTAGAGATGGGGTTTCATCATGTTGGCCAGGCTGGTCTCAAACTCCTGACCTCAAATGATCTGCCTGCCTCTGCCTTCCAAGTGCTGGGATTACGGGTATGAGCTACATATATGCCTGGCCACATACATGTTTATAATTGTAACTTTATGATAGATGGACCCTTTCATTATTATATAATGCCCTTTTGTCTTTTATAACAATTTTGTCTTAAAGTTAGTATAGTCTGATATTTGTGTAGCCACCCTGGCTCTCTTTTGGTTACTATTTGTATGGAATATCTTTCTCCATCTTTTTACTTTCAGCCTATTTGTCTTTGAATCTAAAATGAGTCTTTTGTAGGAGATAAATAATTGCATCTTGTTTAGTGTCTTTTCAGCCAATCCCTACCTTTTCACTGGAGAGTTTAATCTCTTTACTGATTAAAAAAAAGGGGGGGGGGTGTTTATCTCATTATTTCTGTATTTGTTTTTTAAATGTCACATCTTCTATTTCTCAGTTCTTTTATTACTCCTTTCTTTTGTACTGAATAGCCACTGCCCAGGGTATCATTTTAATTCTTTTATTATTTTACTATATATTTTTGAGTTATTTTCTTTAGTTGTCCTTGGTGTTACATTTAACATCTCAATTTATAATAATCTGGTTAGGTTAATGCCAATTTAATTTCAATGGTATATTAAAGAAACTTTGCTCCTATACAATTCCATTCCCCACTTCACTTCCTGTTGTTATTGTCACAGAGTGTATCTTTATAAATTATATACTATCAACATAGATTTATAGTCATTGCTTTATGCTTTCTTTGAATCAGATAGGAAAAAAGAGCATTACACATTAAAAATGTATATTGTCTTTTATATTTGCATGTGTTGTTACTTCTACCACTGTCTTTGTTTTTTCATATGGATTTGAGTTATTGTTTAGTGTCCTTTCATTTCAGCCTGTTGGAGTCTCTTTAGTGTTTTTTTTGTAGGATAAATCTGCCAATGAAGGCTTGCTCAGTTTTTATGTTTCTGGTAATGTCTTAATTTTGCCTTCATTTTTGAAATGAGGTTTTGTCACACATAGAATTCTTGTTTGATTTTTTTTTTTTCTTACAGCACTTTGAATGCCGTTCCACTACTTTCTGGCCTCCATGATTTCTGATGACAAATCAGCAGTTAATCTTATTGATAATCCCATGTATGTGACAAGGCATGTCTTGCTGCTTTCAAGATTCATTCTTTGTCTTTCAGCAATCTGATTATGATGTGTCTTTACGTGGATCTTGTTTACTTTATCCTGCTTGAAATTTATTAAGCTTTTCAATGTATAGATTTTTGTGTCAAATTTTGGGAGTTTTGGCAATTATTTCTTCAAGTACTCTTCTCCTTCACTTTGGGCCTCCCATTGTGTGTATGTTGGTGTGCTTGGTTATGTCCCACAGATCTCTTAGGCTCTGCTCATTTTTCTTTGTTCTTTTTTTCCTTTCTTTCCCTCAAAGTGAATAATCTCATTTGACCTGACTTCAGGTTCACTGACTCTTCTTTTTGCTCAGCTCTGCTGTTGAGTCCCTCTGTTGAACTTTTCATTTCACTTATTGTATTTTTCAATTCCAGAAGTTCTATTTTTTTAAGTAAATTTTATCTATTGGTATTCTCAATTTGCTGAAGCATCATTTTCATGTTTTTGTTTCGTTTTTTGTTTGTTTGTTTGTTTTTTTGAGAAAGGGTCTCACTCTGTCACTAAGCTGAAGTGCAGTGGAACAATCATAGCTCACTGCAGTTTCAGACTCCTGGGCTCAAGCAAGCTTCCTGCCTCAGCCTCCTGAGTAGCTGGAACTACAGGCATACCCCACCACACCTGCCAAATTTTTAAATTTTTGATAGAGACAGGGTCTCACTGTGTTGCCCAGGCTGGTATCAAGCTCCTGGCCTCAAGCAGTCCTCCCACCTTGGCCTCACAAAGCTTTAGAATTATAGATGTGAGCCACCATGTCTGGCCTTTCTTTTAGTCCTTTAGACTCAAGTTTTCTTTATTTCTTTGAACATATTTTTAGATAAAATGTGTTTTAGATAAAATATGATTTAGGGGCCAGGCGTGGTGGCTTATGCCTGTAATCCCAACACTTTGGGAGGCCGAGGTGGGCAGATCACAAGGTTAGGAGTTCAAGACTAGCCTGGCCAACATGGTGAAACCCCATCTCGACTGAAAATACAAAAATTAGCCTGGCGTGGTGGCGGGCATCTGTAGTCCCAGCTATTCAGGAGGCTGAGGCAGGAGAAATCCTTAAATCTGGGAGGTGGAGGTTGCAGTGAGCCGAGATCACACCACTGCACTCCAGTCTGGGCAACAGAGCGAAACTCTGTCTCAAAAAAAAAAAAAGAAAGGTGAAGGTGGGAGGATGGTTTGAGCCCAAGAGAGTTCAAGACCAGCCTGCACAACATAGCAAGACCTGGTCTCCAAAAACTATGTGTATATATATGATTTAAAGTCTTTTTCTAGTATATCCAATCCTGGGACTTCCTCAAGGACAGGTTCTATTAATTATTTTTTCTCTGAATGGGCTATCATATTTTTTTGTTTCTTTGCATGCCTTATAATTTTTTACTGAAAACTGGCCATTTGGAACATTATAACGTGGCAACTTTGTAAATCAGATTCTTTCCTCCCCAGGGTTAGCTGTTGCTGCTGGTTGCATTCATTGTTTGTTTGGTGATATTTTTGAACTAACTTTGTAAAGCCTGTTTGCTTTGCTTTGTGTGGCTGCTGAAGTCTCTGTTAGTGGCTAGACAAAGATTTTCCTCAACACCTGAAACCAAAAAAAAAAAAAAATTTCTTAAACCTCTCAGTCTTTGCTGAAGAGCTCTGTGTGTTTATTAGAGCTGGCCCTCCCAGCATTCATCCAGCTCTGACTTAGCCTTTACTTCCTGCTTCCTGAGAGCATTGAGGTCAGCCAATGATGAGAGCTTGGAGCCTTCTCAGCCTTCTCAGTTTGTTCCTGAGCCAGGAGCGTACTCATGGACTTCTCTATTCCAAGGAATATGTTAGAGCTTGTCTGTGCCCTTCTTCCCCAAAGCATCTCATTCCTCAGCCTTTCCTCCCAAGGTTTTCGTTAGTTCATTATTTGCCCTCACTGATATCTATTGCCTGTGAATGTTTTCAGCAAACATCCCTCCACTCACCTTACTCCAGGTAGCCTCGTTAGCACTGGGCAGTTTCCATGTTAGGCAAGATAAAGGCAACCCTTTTAACATGGTCTTTTCTAGGAAGCCACTAGGCAGGTGAAAGCAAAAATTATAATTTCTTGTGAATGAAGTCTATTCTGCTCTGTCTGGTACTGATACTGTGCATTTAAGCTGTTAATTTCTTTTTAGTATTACTGTATTTTGTGTTTAAAAAAAAAATAGAGATGAGGCCTTGCTATGTCACTCAGGCTGGTCTCAAACTCCTGGCCTCAAGTGATCCCCCCTCCCTCATCCCCTCAAAGTGCTAAGATTGCAGCCATGAGCCACCACACCTAGCTTGGACTGTTATTTTCAAGGCTACTCTTGAGCTAGGTAGCAGAGAATGGAACCAGCATTAGAATTCTACCAAGCTCTCTTTTTTACTGAGAATCAGCTAGATTTTTAAAATTATGTGTTTCCCCTGGTTTCTGGAAGCTTCCGATTAGTTTCCAGTGTCCTGAAAAAGTTGCTTGTGACATTTTTTTTGCCAATTGTTTTCATTGCTTTTATGGAGGGATGGATTTTTGGAATAGTAACTCAGCCATCTTCTGTATTTGATGTTTCCAACACCTGAAGTCTTCATAGGTCTGGGCCTTCTGTTTGTCTTCCACTGCCCTCACACTGGCATCTTGTTTATCGTTGTGAGCTCATAGATTCTTTTTAGTGTTGTCTGTGGGAATCCCTTGAAGCCTGGGGTGAAAGTGGGTTCTTTGAGGGGATGATGTATATTAATTTCTGCCAGGCAGTGATGGTCAAAAACTGTCTTAAACCAGATCCCCCAAGGGTCGCTGTTAGAACCACTCAGGACGTGCTCACTGGGGCCACCTTCCCTCTTTGGAGCCATCTTCTTGGGAGGGATTTCTTCACCTTTCAGTCAGTGCTATACCAGCATTATCCAAGAGAGCTGCCTTTGCTGATGGCAGTGGTCTTTATCTGCCCTGTTCAGTATGGTAGCCACTATCTCCATGCAGCCTTTGGGCAGCTGAAATGTAGCTTACAACAGAGGAACTAAAGGTTGAATTCTATTTAAATTTAATTAGTTTAAGTCAAAATTTAAGAGTCACAGTTGGCTCATGGCTATGGTTTTGGATGGCACAATTCTAGCTGGTTTTTCTTGCAGTCCCCTGGCTGGAGTGAAGGATGCAGGGATGGGGCAGGTTATCTTCAGTTCACCCTACAGAGAATGCATCCCTTCAGGGCCACATTTTTATAGGAGAATCTCTTCACAGGTGCCCCACTTTAGGCAAGTGTTGTGTCTTTTCTCGTGTCTCCTTAGGTCTACAAGACATTCTGAAATGTTCAGGCGTCTTCCCCCTAGCATTTTTTTTTCTTAGCAAGAAGGATGAGCAGAGTACCTAGGCCACTGTGTGTCCAGAAACAGACATCAGCCCATCTCAAAACAGAAAAGGCACTGCTTGTTATCCAGAAACATGGTGTCCTGAATTGCTTCCATCAGCTTATGAATTAATAGCATGTTCTACTGTTCAGTTCCCGCGTTAGTTGAAAAGAGGATGTGCCTATTTACTTTCAAATATTTAAATGGAATTTGAACCTCGAAATAAATGAACACATAAACTATTCCCTGCCTATAGGAGCAAAGCGAACCTTCTGCTGTGATGTCTGCGTGTTCACCTCTTCAAGAATGTCAAGTTTTCATCGTCACATGAAAACTCACACCAGTGAGAAGCCTCACCTGTGTCACCTCTGCCTGAAAACCTTCCGCACAGCCACTCTGCTACGGAACCATGTCAATACCCACACAGGTAAAACCTCAGGGCAGGCATTTCTCTGGAATAGTGTGTGTTCAGGCTTATGTAAGAATGTGAATCCCCTGCTTCTACAGTAGCATTGTGTAGCGTTTTATACTTTAGTCTTTCTTTTTTCTAGAATTTCCATTAAAAATACTGAGTTACAAAGATTTTTCTCACGTGTATCTATGGTATTTATAAAGAGCCTCTTCTTAATTTTTAAAGCATATTTGAGACTGAGTATAATTTAAAAGCTATGAATTCCTTGGAGTTTTTGGTTAAGTCTTGTTTTAAAAGCAGGAACTGTGATTTTACAGGAACCAGGCCCTATAAGTGTAGCGACTGCAACATGGCATTTGTCACCAGTGGAGAACTTGTCCGACACAGACGCTATAAACATACTCATGAGAAACCCTTTAAATGCTCCATGTGCAAGTACGCCAGCGTAGAGGTGAGGCCACTCTTGGACTTGAAGCTTCGTGATGTCTTAGTAGAGGCTGCTATACAAGTTATGTCAAGTGTAACTAACAGTAGAATCTGTTACAAACAGTCTTTGCCAAAGATACTATTCATATAAAATGTATGCAGGAAGTAATGTGTATTCTCTTTTATGAAGTTAAAATAGAAAATTGGATCTCTTTGTCTCTTTGATTAGTAATTAGTGAAAATAATATGTAAAGGTGTACAAATTACAAATAAATTACTTGTGGTGAAGAAATAAGTCCCAGATTTGTCTAAGAGTTCTGCATTTTATCTAGTACTCAGGGCCACGAAATCAAAATGTGTTTGCTCTAACGTAGAATGCAGATCCAATCTGAATATTGACTGAAATTTTTGAGCTTGGTTAGATATACAGCAGCTTGCTTGAAGGTTTAAGCATAGCCACTGCTGTTCTTAATTACAGAGAGACTGCCCTTTCCAAACTTAAGGTGTGTCATGGTCATTTTAATTAATTTTAGTTAATTTGCTTTATTTGTACCTTCTAACAGATCTGGCGGTACTAACATGAAACATCATTGACTCATCACTGCCAGTTTTCCACCAGTTAATTTTCGGAGTCCCACTGTGTGTTGGGAAACAGGCTTAGGCCGGTATTTAGCGCGGTCAGGACTGGGCAAACAGTACACTCAGATGGAACTAAGTTACAGGGAAGGGCTAAAGATTAAATACAGTAACAATGCAGCTGGGTTTCACAAATTAGGAAATTTCATGGATAGGGTCAGAATTTGATGCCAACAACTTTTTTCTGCTGTTACTATTTTTAAAAAATTATTTCTCATCTGAGTTAAAGGTTGTGATTGGAGTATGAGAATGTAGAATGAAGGATTCAGGGAAGAGAGTCAGCTGGGGATCCTAGGCCTGGAGTGGACTTGGTGTTGGTGTCCTGCCAGTGCTCGGGGCACACTTCCCAGGCCTGCGAGACCCTCTCCCGGTGCCAGCGGTCTGCACGCAGCCTGTGGGAGGTGTCCTCAGCACAGGGGTCTCTGCTGCTGCCGTAGCCCCCCATTTTTGCAGTCTCCAAGTCTTGCCATGCTTGTTTGTTCCCATATCCCATCCCATGACACAAATCCCAGCAGGAATGTATCAGAGCTATGGTACAGATGCATGCATTTTTTTAAAAAAGCTTTTGAACTGTCCGGGTACAGTGGCTCACACCTGTAATCCCAGCACTAGGTGGATTGCTTTGAAGTCAGGAGTTCGAGACTAGCCTGACCAACATGGTGAAAACCCGTCTCTACTAAGTATACAAAAAATTAGCCACACATGGTGGCACATGCCCGTAGTCCTACCTACCTAGGAGGCTACGGCAGGAAAATTGCTTGAACCTGAGAGGCAGAGGTTGCAGTGAGCCAAGATGGCGTACTCCAGCCTGGGTGACAGAGCAAGACACTGCCTAAAAAAAAAAAAAAAGCTTTTGAACTCAACTTGTCCTCCCATCCCACCTTTAAGAGTCATCCAGAGGCCGGGCGCGGTGGCTCAAGCCTGTAATCCCAGCACTTTGGGAGGCCGAGGCGGGTGGATCACGAGGTCAAGAGATCGAGACCATCCTGGTCAGCACGGTGAA